GCTAATTTGATCAAAATAATTTCTGTTTTTTTTTCTTCATATGTTGTTGAGGGGCCAAAGAAAGACTTCAGACTAAAAAAATCCAATATTCTTCCTGTTTTTGTTGGGTCAGGCTTTAAAGGGTTAAAACTGCTTTTTGGGGCTTTTAAAGCAGTTTTAGGGTCATTAACCCCATAATGCCAAATGTGTCATATCTGATTCATACGGTTTCTGAAGTCTTTTGGATCTGAGACTGTCAAATATTTGATCAAATTTCACTCAGATGTTGGAGAATTCGTCTGTTTAGGCCTCGCCTCATGCAGAGAAATAAGCGGTTCCCATGGAGTCTGAAACAGGATCTCTGCAAATGCAGGACTCAAACAAACGGGCAGAATCAACGTTTTTCCTGCTGTTAAACTAATGAACTCTGGTGTCTGCGACCCGCTGCATTAAAAGGTGAAAAAACAGCTTTTAAAAGGTTTTTGGTTTAGTTTTATGCACATTTGAGCAAAACAAGTGTGTTGTGTTTATGTTTGGTGACCTAGAGTCTCAGAATAAATTAGAATTAAATCAATCTAACGTCCTATTTATTTGTCTTGAACCCTAAACATTGTATTTAAAGAAACTTGTCCACAATTTTGTGGTTCGTTTAAACACAAAATGAAGATGTGTGAAGTTTACAGAAAGCATTTAAACATCTGAATAATTCCAACATTTCTCCAGAGAGTTTATCCACATAGTGTAAAAAAAATGGTGACAAACTGTGTTTTTTGTATTTTTAATTCACATCTCCTGTGAGCCGTCGAGGGTCTGGGCCCCCCCTGAGGGGGCTTGGCCCCCCCAGGGACAAAAGCCTAGTTCAGCCACTGTGGAATATCATAAGAATTCATTAAAGGTTTTAAATGAAAGGGGTTCAGTTTATTTTCAAAGCTCGTCCAAAAAATGGAAGAAAAGCTTCAAATCACTGACACAAATCAGACGCAGAAACTGGAGCAGTTTAAAAAAGGAGGAAGAAAATCAGGAAGGTGTAAAAGTAATTCGGTTCTTCATTTTTATTCACTTTATTTCTCAAAGGCCTCAAATTCAAACTCATGCTGAGCCCACATTAATTATTTTTGTATTATTTTATTATTTTACCCATCTGTTGTTTATTTAATTTATTCATTCATTCATGTTCATTTTAAGAAGATGATTATCATTTTGTTCATTCCTTCATAATTCATTTTGTTCTGTTTTCTGAACCACTTTCTTATTTAGAGTTTGATTTTTCTTGTGATTTTTGTTGCTTATTCTGTAAAAATACAGCAAAAACTACCAGAATTTCTGTGTTTTTAGCTTTTTGTTTTCAGAAACGTTCCTGTATTTGTTTTGATTCTGGTGTTTTTTCTGTTGTTGCTTTTTCGCTGTTGTATTTTCTGCTATAATAATCACTAAATGAACCCTAATCTTAATTCTGTGGCAGCTCTGCCTGTTTTTCTGCCTCCATGTTAGTAAAAACTGTTCCTCAGGGTGTGTTCACCGAGAGATTGGGACATAATTACACCTGAAACTGGTTTTCAAATGGATTTCTCAGCGTCAGAATCTCTGTTTGAAGCTTTTTTCTGTTCAAAGTTTGAATTTAGGGTTAATTGCTGCAACTTTACGGTTTGTTTTTGGTTGTTTTTGAAGGAAAAGCTTCAAACAGAGATCTGAATATGCGGTTTCTGTACTGTTCCGGGCTTTGGGACCTTTGCTTTATTAACATACCTGTATGAGAGCTGAAACATGTCAAGTATCTGCTGAAACTGAGGCAGTTTTAATCAACATCCGTGAGACTCTGTCAACATTCAGTCCACACATTGCAGAAAACCAGTTTGTGAACTGGGAATTTTCCGATGAATTCTGAAGATGTTTCCTTTTTCCTTGTTAGTTTACAGGAAATAATGTCATGGTCAGGAAAGGTTTTATGATTAAAACAAAGTCCAAATGATAAAACTTCAAATCCAGACTCTTGCTGTGGGTTCGGAGGTGATTGACCTCTGGAGATTAACTCATTGGCTGCCAAAGGCCTCTATAGAGGTCTTTTATGTTTTTAACGAGAGTGGCTGGGGAACGATCGGCGAAAGTTTTTCCGTAAATATGGGCTTCTAGACAGACTATGTAGTAACAAATTGACCCTCTAGGGGGCAGTGCCACTTTTGATG